GGGAAAGAGAAGGCAAAAATTTCCCCTCTCTCATGGCTTATTCATAGCGATATGGGCACAAAAATTTAGGAAAACTCATTATTACATAATAATGTCATTAAATTATTTCTTATATGTTAAAAAGATTTTCGTGCCCTTCTGTGCTTTGCAGCTTCCAAAGAACAACATAATCGATAAACTAAATATGTATAGGAAAAATATAGCAACACAAATCTTAGAAAACATCAATGTATCGGGAGGAAGGAACAACCGATCGGACATGCTTGTGGATCGACGACGAATTTGATGCTAGAGAAGAAGACGTGGATCGAGCGAACGAAAGAACATGCCAAAGGATTCTCCACAAGACGACGATCAACTCTCAGGCCAATCGGCAGATTACCCATTTTCATATCAAGCACCAACGGGGTCATGGAGGGGAAAACAACCGACAAACCTCTTACTGACCGAATCAATCCGTCACTCTTATTATATTCAAGTATTTTTGTAATTACTAAAAAGTTCATCTGACGGCTAATGATAACAAGACTGATATGTAATCTTATCAGACCGAGACATACTGCTATAAATAGAGGCTATGCAATCTTAATTTTCTCAAATGTATTCTTTCATATCTTTCCTTGCAAAATGTTTTATGTCTTGGATGTGTTTCCTAGGCACCCTTGGATCAGCATAATAATTTTATTTGACTTTATAGAGAAAAATAGACATATTAAAATGAAATATCTGCATACCTAGGTTTATATATATATAAACGGTAATTATATAAGTGAAAGAACAATTCAAAAACAGATTACATTTGAGATTTATAATTACCGGCTGTGTGCATGGAAACGCATATCGCAGTCTAGCCATTGAATGCGCCATAGCGTGCTGCAATCTTGTTGAACCCGGCCCCACTTAAATACAATATCTATAATGCGCTGCATCATATGGCTGAAAATTAATTGAATGCAGCACGTTTTACTCGAGCATTCGGAAAACTATGTTTCTGTATTTTAGTGGCCCATCACGTGGACAAAAGAGCAGCATGTTGCTGACAAAAAAAAATTTAATTTCCGTGGATACATGTTGTTATGCATTTTGAAATTTTTTTTTTTTAAAAAATTCCGATCCAAATTTAAATAATTAACTCACCATAAAAACCATATAAAACATATCTTGATGCAATTTCATTAAATTTATAATAAAACTAAATATTGCAATAAATCATTCAACAAACTAAAATGTAAATACTAACTAAATATCAAATAATGAAAATAATTAGTTCAAGTTACTTGTAGTGCTATGAGATTTTGGACAAATAATTAAAATATCACATTTAAAAAAAATAAATAGATTTTAATTATCAAGAAGAAGAAAAGCTAATAGATTTGAAGAAAAAATGATCATAATTGGCAATTATCATTGTTCAACTATCATAATCCGACTATCATTTCTTGTGCATTGTAGCCCATCCACCATAACTTGACTGTTATCATATATAATCATCATTTGACTCTCATTATTTATTCACCCTAAATTGAGTATTGTTGTCACATGATCATCATCTTTTAATCATATATGTTCAATTAGTACTGCTCAATTATCATTACTCGAACACTATTATCACATTCCATCATTCTACTAAAATCACATGCGATAATAGTGAGTATTTCAAAAAAATTTATTAAGTCTTCTCTAATTATGATTTTACTAGGATCATCTTAACTTTAACAATTGAATTCATTGTTCTCATGCTACCCACCTAATTAAGAATCTCCCAACAGTATTCATGGAGTTGGCTAAACCACATATTATTAAAACTTTTTATGATATCTTAAGAGACAAAATTTGATGCCTTCTTTAATGGATTGAAATCAAGTTACCATATTCATTTATCTCCAATTAATGTTATTCACAAATGACCCAT